CCCCAAAACCCCAAAACCCCAAAACCCCAAAACCCCAAAACCCCGTAAACTTCATAAATTCTTGAAATTAAAGCAATATAATTTATTTTGATGAAGAGAGTTTACATTCAAAGAGAAAATTTAGTTGGCACAAATACCTTTTGAAATCACTCAAGAGACAGGTTCTGCAATTACAAATGCGATGAGACCTGTGATGAGTTCCAACGCAGGTTGGATCAAACAGATAGGAATAACCGCAAGCTGCAACCCTTGAATATTAACAACTCGTGGGTTAGGAATGTACACCAGTATAAGACTAAAGCAGGAGGTGCAATCTCTCAGATAAATCAAGACCAGGTAATAGCTGTCTGAAGTGAAGCATTTGCCATCAGGACTGCTCCAAAGAAGACCTATATTCCTAAAGAACAGCCTATCGATCTGGACTATAAGTATTCAGTAGTTGATAGAAAAACATGTTTCAGAACTCAGATGACCAGAACTCTTTACAAAAGGAAAACCAAAAAATTAGACACTAGGCTGACTACTAGGCAGAAGAAGAGACTTAGTAGTGAAATTTCTTAATTAAAGAACCTTAATAACTCTAATACTTGTTCTGTAAAATATTTATCAACACATTTGAGAAATTAACGAAAATTTTCTATTTTCTCAACAAGCTTAAACTTTACTTCATAAGTTTCCAGGACCTTAATCACAGAATCGGCCTCTCATGTAGCAAGAGGTATAGTCCTTATAAGGAAAACCTCATGGCCAATGTGAGCAATGCTCCTCATGACTTTGCCCTCTGCTGCTTAGAACTTTGCCATGTGATCGGACCCTCTAAGGAATTATATGGGGAATACTCTTAGCCAAAAAGTTAGTGATCCAAGTAGGATAGTAACGTAGATGCTAGACGTGAAGTTAGGCAGATTAAGGGAACAGAAGAAGCAATCTATCATGATAGGTTATAATAAGAGGCTTTTGATATGAAAAATGGGCGAAGAAATTTTGAAAACTTGTATAGATGCCTTTTAGAACACATTTTTGGCTCTTATAAAGAAAGTTCTTCCTCTCCTTGATAGGAAGTAGGGTAGATAGTTTTAGACCTAAAATTGTTGTAGAGGCTTTAGCTCTTGGGGTTATTTCTTTCTCGTTTTTGGAATTAAAATTTAATCTCCTTGATAAGTGGAGTTAAATATTAAAACTTCCCAAAATCTAACACATACTCAAAATTTCCAAACTGACAAATAGTCTTTTGTTTAACAGAATCCGCAAGATTTAAAAAATATTTCCTATCTAGAAATTTTGACTAGCTTAATGTGAAATATGGAACTATAAAGTTGAATATGCCTCACTTTAGACCATTATAACGATTCAATAATCTGCAAATTGGAAGGGGTTTTGGGGTTTTGGGGTTTTGGGGTTTTGGGG